CCCCAAAACCCCAAAACCCCAAAACCCCAAAACCCCAAAACCCCAAAACCCCTGATTCTTGTCATAAAATAGAAAAATTAGTAAGAAAATAATGGAAGGTAAGTGACCCTCGATTGATGGTTTGTGGTGCTGGTTCTACCTGGTCTAAGAGGTCCCACTTGTGTCTAACAATCATATTTAGAAAGCACAAATTTTGAACTGAAAGAGAAAATAGATCTGAACGAGCTTCTTAGAATCTGTAAACGGTCTAATAAAGAGATTGTTCAAATAATTCGCCAAAATCCTGATAAAATCAAGTAATCTCTTTGTTTACACTCTTAGACTTGACATGCTCAGATTCAGACTTTTTAGAACAGATTATTGCAAGATTAGAGAGGAACTTGCTTATTATCAAGTTCATCATCGTAAGTGGTCTGAGAAATCTAAATCTGTATTAATATCATTTTCAATCTATTTCATGGTGTATGATTAGCTAAGATAACTAGCCTTTGCATTTAGAAGCTATTTATAGTAAAAATATCCTTGTTTAGCTAAATCTACTAAAATTTGATTAAGAATAGAGTATTGTTTCTTTGTCCTAAATTTTACTGAAATTTTCATTAATAATTCAGTAACCTTCTTGTCAAACCCTATCACTGTTTTGATGGTAACCTAACACACTTAATATAGCCTCAAGCTTAGATGAGTAAGTGTACACCTTAACCCCTTGTAGTTATGTTGGAGACAAGGTAACTTCTTACTTACTCCTCAGGTCTATCAATTAAAAAGAATCGACCACGACTGGAATAAACACGTTAAAATGATCATCACCCACGTTGACAAAAACCCATCTATCGACAGTAACCCTACCACCTCTCTCACCCCTCATCTAGTCACCACTCGTCCTCTCCACCATAGCCTAAACACCCAAAGAAATATTCCACCCAAACCCATCCCCAAAACCAAAAAGAAGAAGCCAAAGAAACCAGTGAAACCAAAGAAGCCCAAAAACCCCACTAAACCAGCCAAAAAAGCGCCATCCTCAACCCCAAATCCCCTCCCTTCCCCTATCCAACTTCCTTACGATCCCCACGAAGAGCAGTACAATCCCAAACCTGTACAGAAGCCTGAAACCCAAGTGGCCCACGCTAAGAAGAAGAAGGATGTGAAGTTTAACTGGGAGGATGAAGATGTCAGAAGAAGAGGGGATTTTGATAAGCGGGTTGGAGAGATATCTTCATCTGATACTCTTGACCTTAACTCAGCTGTTCATCTTGAGCGTTCATTTGAGCGTATGAAGTCGCTTCGGTCTCATAGCCTGAAGCAAAGGACTCAACATGACAAAGAAACCTCCCTTCAGAAGACTATAAGTCAAGAGGATCAGTCGTTAAACACCATACCCATCGGTACTAACCAAGAAGAAACTCAGAACAAAGACAGCTCTCTAGAAAAACAGTCTTCAGAGAGATCCAAATCAGAGAGCGAAGAAGACCAAGAAATCAAGCTAAAAATTAGACGAAGAATACAGTAAGACTCAGAGAAAGAGAGTTAAGGAAGAAGAGAAGCCACTGAAATTGTAACTAGAGAGGAGTTTCAGCGATTTTGAGAATTTTAGTAAGACAATTTATGGGGAGTTATGTGGGGTTTTGGGGTTTTGGGGTTTTGGGGTTTTGGGG